TGTTGACCTTTTGGAAGCAGAGCACCAGGCTTTCTTCTGAGGCACCTCTGGGTGGATTCAAGCTGATAACCTTTCAGTTAGTAGCTGGCACTTAACCATTTGCACTACTCAGGGACCCTGAAAAATGGTAGGACTTGGCTAATCATGACTGTATCTACTACCATTTATTAAGCTCCTACCGTATTTCGTGGCTCCTAAGCCCTTTTTTTTTTTTTTTTACATTTTAATATCTGAAACCAGGATGCATCATACAAACAGTGGCATATCATAGTTAATTAAATTAATTGGCAGTGTTTTCTCTTTCTTAGAAGTACATAGAATAACAGTGTGATTACAATCCATGGAGTCTTACATTCAAGAGATGTAATATTGTACTCCAGGCTCTCCACTAAATCCTGTACAGACATTGCTCATCTAATCCTCACAACAATCTGAGTTATCAGCTGTTGTTAGCTGTTTCCCAGAAGAGAAGTCAAGGCATGGGGTAGGTAGGTCGTTTGCTCAAGGTCAAGGAGCTAGTAAGAGCTGGACTCAGGATTTCAACCTGTGCCACCTTGATCCTTGGGGGAAACTTTGTACAAAACCCAAGAAACCCCTTGCCATCGAGTTGATTCCGACTCACAGTGACCTTATAGTGACCCTGTGGGGCAGAGTAGAACTGTCCCATAGGGTTTCCAAGGCTGTAATATTTACAGACACAGACTGCTACCTCTTTCTCCTGTGGAGCTGCTGGTGGGTTTGAACCGCCGACCTTTCACTTAGCAGCCGGGCTTCTGACAACTGCGCCACCAGGGCTCCTTGCTTTGTACAAAGCAAGAGCAAATCTGGAGCCGGGAGTAGGGTGGTGAGGTGGAAGCTAGAGATGCTTCCTTCCTCTTGGTCGTCCTTTCTTACCAAAGCCCAAGATAACCAGGTCAGTGACGACCACCATCACCGGGCCACTGTCTTTCCACACTGCCTCTTGATCATTCCAGCACCAGCCACCCCTCCTGGCCTTAACTCCTGGGGGAGATCTGGGCCTGACATCCACAGTGACTCCTCCACTTCCCCAATGGAGAAAACGGGACTGGAATGAGATCCCAGGGAAGGGGGTAAAATTCCAAGCCCAGCTGGTTTTCTTCACACAGTGCAGATTTGCTTAAATGGAAATTAGGATTAGTGCTGGATTTTGCCTGTCTTGGCAGGCTGGTAATAAACTAATCTCCTCTCAGGCTACAGGGAAGCAGAATTTCACCGAAGACAGGAGACAGCTTAAGGCTCGGGAGTGCAAAACCTGGGAAGTAATTTTGTTATTGACTGGCCCTGCCCACACCGCCTGATACACAGCCCACAGCTCCTTCCCAGCGCGCCACAGCCTTTAATTTCGTTAATGTGTGACGTTCGCCCAGGCTGCGTGGCAGACGGCAAGCTTGACATTAATACGTGTTCCGTGAGGTCCCCAGAGCTCATAAAAGCTCATTATCAGTTCTGAGCCAGTAAATGCAGTTCCCACCTCAGGTAGGCCCAAGTTCCTCAGAAGTGGCCCTAGGCAGTGGAGCTGTGGACTTTCAGCTGCGCCAATTAACAAACTCTTTCCTCTGTCCACGGGTCTCTGCCTCCCAGGCTGCTGGGAGGTGACCAGAAAAGCTGTTCTGTAGGCAGAGCCCTGGGTTCAAACTTACCTCCGGGAAAAGCGGCTCCTTCTGCTCTTCTAAACCGAAAAACCCAAACCCATTGCCATCAAGTTGATTCCAACTCATGGCAACCCCATGTGTTACAGAGTAGGGCTGCTCCGTAGGGTTTTTCTTGGTGTTTCTGTAATCTTTACGGAAGCAGATTGCCAGGCCTTTTTTCCACAGCACCAGTGGGTGGGTTTGAGCCAACAACCTTTAGGTTAGTAGGCAAGTGCAGACTGCTTGCGTCACCCAATTGAAGTGAACTGATTAGGCATTTTGGGAAAGCTGTTTGTCAGTCTCTCTTCAAACGTGGACTACACCCAGCCTCTGCCCAGCTGGCAGTCCCACTTCTAGCATTTGCATGGAACATTTCCACACAGAGATGTAGCACCAAGGAGGTGAGTGCTGCAAGGTTGTAGTGGCTCAAGTGGAAATCACCCCCATATCCATAGTGGGAAAGGTAAATAAATTATGGCCCACAC